ACCATTAGGATATTGAAAGAGATGCAATCTTAGATAGAGCTTGATTTGTTGCAAAAATCCTTGAAATTTTGATCTTGTTCCATCAAACTTCTTAGTCATACTAATCCTTATCCCTGCCATACTTGTAGAAGCAAAACTCCTTGAATTTGGTTGTGAGGTCAATCTACTTACTTCCTTCAATTGCACAACCTCTTATCGTAGATTTTGAACTTTTTCTATAAGTATAGGAATAATATCTCCATGATTCATATTGAAAATATATGAGATTTCTATTCTTAAAGTATTGACAAGCTCATGAAGATCTGTAATAATTGCAAATCTATTTTCACTTCTACTAAGAGTAGCATCCATAATCTTTCTTTCTATAGACAATTCAAATAAGTTAAATTAGAGGAAAGTAATCTACAACCTCTAATATCAAATGAAAATTTCAACAAAGAGGAATGATCGACTCTTTGTAAAGAAAAGATCATTATTAGAAAATAAGATTGTTTGTTTAAAAGTAGATAGTCCGCAACCTTCAAAACACAACAATAGAAGTGAGGCAATCCACTCACTTTTAGAACAAGATAGAAACAATAAGTTAGCATTCTTGACAAATTATTAAGGACATAAATCTCAAAGCAAAAAAATCTCAATACACTCTTGTGCCATTGAAAGAAATTAGAAAGTTACTTAAAGATGATATAGTATTGAATGAAAATGGCTATTGCCAATAATAAGAAGATTAAAAAGTCTTAAAAAAATACTAAGAATTAGAAAGGCATTGACAAGAATGAAAAAGGCTTCATTCTTGCCTCCATATATACTCTTCACTAAGAACTACATAGTGATGTCCTATAAGACCTCCAAAACATGTTGACTTTGTAAGACACCTATATTAACTTGTAAGACAGTTTTCTATATGTGTACCACATAATTAACTTGTTTTACAAGCTATTAATATGTGGTTAACTTGTTGATCAAGTTTCAAACCTATTAATCAACTACAAATACATGTAAAGACAAAACAATGTCTATGAAGCTTTTAGGAAGCTTTTTTAGAAGGTATTATAAAATTAATCTATATTTATTAATATTTATTATTTTCTAGTCAATTATATAGATATTTTTTAGATTATATATGTATATCCATGAAAATATCTCAAAAAAAGATAAATGCAACCTCTTCTCTCAAAAGTAGATAATAATAAAGAAATCAAGGTAGAAGAAGTTTTAAATTTAAATCATTGCCAAAATAGATTAAAGCATCTTATTCATTGGGAGAAATATGATGTTAATAAATATACATGGAAGCTTACAAAGAATGTTACAAATAGAACAAAGAGAGTTGTCGCTTTTTATTGTTATCATCTATTGAAATTAAGATAAAGAATATTAAATCTTTACTATAAAAGAAATGAGATCCATAGAAAATAGCATTCTACCTTCTACTCTTGTTTATAGTTTTTGTGTATTTGTAGCACTAAAGAGATAAAGAATTAACAACCAAAAAATTTAATTCAAAAGCTATTCTTTCTTAACATATCAAATGAGATATTGTGATTGTCACAACCTTCAAAACAACGTTTAATCAAAATGAAGATCTTCAAGAACAACATACCTTTCTTCAAATAAATAGCAATATAAAATGTATTTGGTATCACAACCTTTAAAGAGATTCTTGATGTTTGGATATTTTATTAAAAGTAAAAAAAAATCATATTGGTATTTTAAATGTTTTGTTTAAAAGAAGTTATGAAGACCTTAACAACAATCAAATAATACAATCATCTTCCTGCCTTGGTACAAGATACTATTGATGGCTAAGTGGACCTATAAACCATCTTCAAAGAAAACATAGATTAAAATATATAATAAATATAATTTATTGTATTTTAGATTTTTTCAACATATGATGATTGCTTCTTATAAAATTTGTCTTTAAAAAAGATATTAATATCATGAATATATATATTTATTCTAATAATTATCTATATGATTAAGTAGAAATAGATAAAAATAGATTGATTTCATAATATGTTCTATAGAAGCTTCATAGATACTTCTTTGATTTTACACATGTTTGTAATTAATTAGTAGGCTAAAAAATTAGTCAAAAAGTTAGCCATGTATCACACGTATTAGTAGCTTGTGGAATAAGTTAATTATATGGCGTTCATATAGATAACTTACTATAGAAGTTAAATTATGTCTTTAACAAAGTCAATAAGTATTGGAGGTCCTATGGAATATTGCCACATAGCGCTTTGTTAGAGAGTATATATAGATGCAAAAGTGAAGTCTTCTTCACTCTTGTCAATGCCTTTTTAATCCTTAATCTTGTTTCAAGACTTTTTAATCTTCTTGTCTTTGGCAATAACTATTTTAGTTCAATGTATTACTATCTTTGAGTGATTTTTTAATCTTTTCAAGACATAAGAGATGTATTAAGGATTTCTTTCTATGAGATTCATGTCCTTGATAAAAATCTCATCTTAATTTTTTATTTTATTTTATTTTTATTATTCACATTTAATACTATTAATACCAACATCTTCTACAAATTACTACTATTTTATATTAAAAATAATTTGTATATAGTTGATTGCCATTAATTCTTTTAATAATATATAATAAATTATAAAAATAAATCACAATAAGTTATACTAATTAATTATAATACATCCAATATTGATTGATTATATAGTTTTATTTTAAATTAAAAATATATGTATATGTATAGTTTTTAGAATATTGACTATTTATTATAGTTTCAAACTTTGAACTTTATATTATATAAAAATTAAGATTATACATATCATATATTTAATTCTTCAATAAATTTTTTTTTCTTCTGTCTCTCTCTATATATATATACAAAGAGACAAAAAAACCTTTGAATTGGTTGTGAAAAAGGAAACACCACAATCACAAAGAACTAGGAAATATTAGAAAAGTTTCGCACGGCTATCAATAGGCTTCGTCCCACCCTCTGATGCACCTGTCCCGAAGTATGGGAGGAAGTGTGTAAGATCTCTATTATTAGTCAACCTGTAGTTAATACCTTTTATTTTATTTTCCTTTGTTCAATTTCAGGAGCCAGAACTGACGAATTGACACGAAATTGTCGACCAGAGGGAAACTGGTGCTCAGAATTTGCGACCTTTACTATTTCTCGCTTAACGAGGTTTTACGATGTTCTCGAATCAAGAGCTATGCAAATTAATGAAGTGGGGCAGGGATATTTTTGTAGATTTGACAAAGTCAGTGAGAGAGAGAGCGGGAGGGAGAAAGGAGACGAAGGCCTGGAAAAGACAAGTACCATGCAATGCCTCAGCCTGCACAGAGTTAAGCACAAATACCTGGGTTAGTAAAGCCACTAAAATATCTGCGGCATGCAGAATCTGGTGTCCTAAAAGATGCCGGAGGATTCTCGCAATCCATCGGCACAAGCGAGGGCAGTCGAATTGCTCTTTTCATGCAGACGCTGGCATCTGGTCAGACAAAGACAACGCCACCGTCGACCCCCCCTCCATCCCTCCGTCAATCAACTACGCTTGCACTGTTCCACCCCACCACTTCCCACGGATTCAATGGCACGACGATCCTGTGCGTTCGATCTGGGGGTCGCCAGCGGCGAAGAAGCAGCTCTGACTTCGCGACACTGCCTCAGGATTGACGAAGATGTAGCTGCAGATGACGATGGATCTCGAGTTTTACCCCTTCACAATGCAACTCCCCTTCGTTATAATTTTTTTTAATTCCCTGGGCAAATCAGGGTTTTACTCTGTCGCATTGTCCATGCCTTGGTATTCATTGGATACACGTTTTAGTTGAAGGAACAGGGATCCTATAATTGTTTGTTTTTATTTAGGCATTTTACCCTATTTCTGAACATTGGATGGCGTGTTTTTGAACGAAAGTACAAGTCAATGATCATAATTTTTTTGGTGAAATACGCAAGGTTTTTTCTTTTAATTTTTTCTTTTCTTTTCTTCAGTGTATGTGCTCTTTTGAGAATGCATGCAAAAATATAATATTGATGTAATGGAAACTTTTTATACTCTCAATAACTGTGACATAGATTTGGTCTCCATGTGCCATGAAGGTATGGCTCAGAATATTCATGATGGATAATGCTTCTAAGATGGGAGTGAACACAATGGAAGAATATTCATTGGCTCAAATTGTCAAACAAGATTTGTGGAAAATGGTGGAAAGGCTCTACATATGAAATGGAGTTTTTTTTAACAATTATTCTATAAATTATTGCAAGTACTTAGTAAGTTTTCAAACTAGCCTTGTGAATTATGGTTTTTGTAGTTGCAATTCTATTCCCATATATCTATTTTGACAGTCACCATCCACTGTTGTTGTATAGATAAAATGATTGATGAATGAAGCTTAAAAAGATATGCAATATATGTACATAGGCAACAAAGCTGATGCACCAATTTGTAAACAAGACACATAATTTGCTGTTTGCCTTGACGTCTTATTAACCACCTGAGTGCAATAATTTTCTTTTGTAGTAATTACTACAATACAAATACCTGCTTATGAATTATAAAAATAGGTTGATACATGTGATTTTCATACCCAAGTTATGTACAAAATTCCTTGAAAACATGTGACATAGGTATGGTCATCATCACAAGTTCTATATACAAAAATAAGGACAATTCCACACACACACAAAATATATATATATATATATATATATATATAATCTGATAAACTTTTACAAAGACAAATTTACAAATTGAAAAGGATGTTTAGCAACAATAAAATTTGGGAGGATCCATGCAGTTTTCCATGTTGACTTTGTTGAAGAATGGTGGGTTGTATTGTCTTCAATTTTTTTTTTTTGTTGAAAATACGATACTAAGTCAAACAGGACACGAATTCATTGTACAGTGAAATATGATATTCATAAATGTGCGTTAGTACACCTCAAGAATGGAAGTACACCTCAAGAAATAAAAGTAAGAGGGTTACTTCATGCAGAGGAATTCGATATGATTGAGAAAAGTGTAAGCCATGAGTGTGTTTTCTCAAAGTGTCTGCCACATGGGTATAGTGTCCATCGTGGAAGGGCATTGATAGTAACGACACATGAGGGGCAAGTTCCCCTTTTGCCCTGCCCACCAGGTCAGTCAGCCTCTTCCAAGAACATGCAGAGCCGACTTCAGCCGCTTGTGCCAACATTGGAGAACTGTCGGCCCCCTTGCCAGGCTGTCAGACTGTGGATTAGCGCTAGTCTGGGAGATGCACTCATGCAATGCATGCAAAGGGGGGGGGGATGGAATGTGATTTATGCTTCTCCAGGTCCATGTGGAGCTTGCCCCTCGCAGCTTCCACGGTGCCCGTTAGACCCTCTCCTGCAGGAAAGATCGACGACCATCTTTGGATGTCGATCACTATTTGTCGACCACTATTTGTCATCTGATGTGCAATCTCTGTTTTCCATTCTTGTCTCATGTACTCCAAATATCTATATATCAAGATTGCTCAAGGAGACGTTGCTCAAGAAGAAAAGTTTTGACTCTCCTTCATCGCATGCTCCCCTCTTCATTTTCATCAAAAGACTTCATTTTATTTGGAGTTCACAAGTCCTTAACAAAATTGAGATATTGATGACTTCTACATTTTTGGATGTTAATTTGCTGTTTCTGGATGTTAACATGTTGTGTCCATATGTTCCATGTGTTGCCTTCCACACTTAAAGCATTCTTCTGCATTCTTCTTCTTGAGTGATGAATGAATGGTAGAGCAAGTGGATAGAGAACTCTATATAAGGATATTCAGTTGGCTGATTGGTTGGACGTTGTTTTGTTGTGGTCATATGGCAAAGCATTGATATAAATGGTTGTTGGATAATTTGGAGTAAGATCAGAGAAAGATCCATTGCAGTTCTTCACCATGAATTCTTAATGATCTTGAAGTTAGTGCCACTAGGAATGGGAATGGTTATGATTAAACTTAAAGAATTAATATTCCATAAGCGTAGATTTATTGTTGTGGTATTTGCTAGGAGTTTCTCTCTAATCCACCACCTAGACAAAATTCATGATGTTTTGGAGCACCAATTTGAGCTAGTAATACAAGAAATCTAACGTGTGAGTGAGTAGATCACTGATTAGACAGAGAGATGGAAGATAGAGAATTTAGTGATGGATGTTGTTTTTGAGGATTTTTTTTTGAGCATGGAAGCTTTGCTAGATTTGTAGAAGAGGTTAGGTGCCTGTGCACTATTTTTGGTTTTACGCCATCTCATGGTGAAGGAATCATCCATTATATTAGTTTGTTGTAAGAATACATGGTTTTGTAAACTTCTTTTGAATAGAGTTATACAGAGCAGAGTTGTATGGAAAGTACAGAGTTATACTGGAAGTGTAGAGTTAATTGAAAATTTGTTGTGCTTTACATAGTATTATTACACAAAATTCATTGGGTAGGAATAAGCGACAATGCTCATTTATTATGATCAATTAATATTGATATTAATTTTACTACTTAAATTCATTTTATCATGAAAAAATTCTTTGACTTTATTATGATCAATATTGAGTTTCATTATGGATTAGATATTTTGGATCGTCTTGCTCCAGAGCAAGAAAATGAATTCATTTGCAATATTTTTATAATAATTAAAGTTCACTTATTAGAGCCACATCAAATTTACTTTTATTTATGTCAAAATTATACTTTACAAATAACAAGCTACTGGTAATGGAAAGATTAATTAAAATACAAAGTTGATTGGCAGAAAAATTTGAGCAATCATCATTTTTTAATACTTTGGAATGTATGCATGAAGACTAAAAAGGAATAATTATAAATTTTTGCAAGCCTTTTATAAAAGAACCATAAATAGAAGAATTTTGTGCTTGGCTTTTTTGATTCTATATTGTATGCATTTCACATCCTTCGCCTATCATCTTTTTCTCTTCAATAATTGAGATTAGGATATCATTATTAAATACAGACTTATATAGGGATTTTATAAGAAGTAAATTCATTTTATCATTTTGTAGTTTTATATTAACATTTTTTATTTTTATATTTATATTTATAATATTTATAATTTTCATATTATATTTATTATATTATATTTCATATTATATCTTTATTTTAAATAAAATTCTTCAGCAATAAAGTTTTATTGGAATTTTAGCAGTATCACCAACTACAATAGGAATTGTTGTACAAAAATTGAATTATAGGAATTTTTTTTTATATAAGATTTTTTATATTCAACTTATATGTATATATATATATATATATATACATACATTTGTGTGTATAAATAAATAATGATACATATTTTAATAAATATTATTTAAAAAATAAAAAATAAAAAATTAATATTATATTTATTTATTTTCATTTGCAAAATGTAATATTGTGAAAAAACGGAACTTTTTGTTGCATCAAGTTGTTGTAAAAATGTATATAATTTTAATTAGTGGAAATGCATAAATGTAGAATATTTTTTTGTTAAAGTACTATGATATTATAATTTGACTAATTAAGTTGTATGCACTTATTTTTATTTTACAGGTACTATATAATTTTGCTAAAATACTTGAATAATAAGATTTTATTGGAATTTCATAGAGGTACAATTTAAAAAGCTTACTCCAATTATCTGATGGAATCTGTGCTGTTGTGAACGGTCTAGCTTTATCAATGAATTGAAGAGCAATTGCTCAACAATGGTGTAGGAAATATGAAAGAATACAAAGAAGAGTTGAAATAGTTACAAGAGCTCAAGCCACTCATGCCATTGTGAATGGTCTAGCTTTAAGAATAAATCAAAGAACAATTTTTCAATGACAACAAAGGAAATGTGAGAGAGTACAAAAAAAAACTAAAATAGTTATAAGTGCTAAAACTACATATAATCTAGAGAGAATGAATATTTTGTGTCTTTATTATAATGCATTACATTAGTTTGATAAACATTTAACTTAATTGCCAACAAAGTTGTTATTATGTAGACAATACTGTTGTCAAGGATAAGTTTTATTATCATCTCTATCTTCTATGTCTTTACTTTTGAAATGCTTATTTGTGGACGAAGATGCAAAAGCAAAGGAATTTTGAGAAAATATCTATCAATATAATGCTGCACATGCATTTACATCTTTAGGTGCAATTTTGAAATGCTTATTTGTGGACGAAGATGCAAAAGCAAAGGAATTTTGAGAAAATATCTATCAATATAATGCTGCACTTCATGAATACAAGTAATAAATGTTGATATAATATTTTTATAACTTTTGAAGAAATTGCTATGATATTGTATGGAGATGGATTGGAGCATAATGTACTTTGTAATATTATCATTTTTCTATATAATAATTTAATGTAACTCATCAAAGTATTGGGCATGAAGAAAGATGATATAAATTAAATAATTTAGGATGTAAGGTCTTATTTCTACTATTACATATTGGAAGTAGAAGACACATGATAGAAATATTTTAAGATTCTATGGTAATTATAAGATATTATTAGCATCTTGATATTATTATGACAATGATAAAAAATCCAAGTTAGTCCAAAATCTAAAATGAATTGCTTCAAGAACAAAAAACAAATGACTGGTCAGATTTGATTGCTCATGTATTTGAGCTCAAAAGACATGCAATTATGGAATATATACAACAAGGAATTGTCTTTGGTCATGTTATTGCACATATATATACTATTGAGTTTCAAAAAAGAGATCTATTTCACATGCGCATCTTAATTTTTTTAGATAGAAAAAGTAAGATTGGATATATTAGAGATGTAGGTTGTATGGTTTTTATAAAAAAATTAGATAAAAATAATGACCAAGAGCTATTTGAAGTCATTCTATAATACATAGTACATGGTCTATATGAAATGCAAAATCCTCAAGCACCTTGTATGGAAGACAATTATTATACAAAGATGTATTCAAAGATATTTGTGGAAGAAAAAACAATGGATATCAATAAATATCCTTAATATTGACAAAGAAATGATAGAAGAACATTTGAAATTTGAGGAATGGTTGTTGATAAGAAAGATGTTGTTCTATTTCATCTAAAAATATCTTAAAAGTATAATTGTCATATTAATATTGAGGTATGTGCATCTATTTGTGTTGTCAAGTATATCCACAAATACATTTATAAGAGCCATGATCACATTATAATGCAATTTGAAAACTAATAAGACAAGATCAAATAAAACTCAAAAGGCTGCTTGGAGACTATTTGGCATGCATATCCATGAAGAAATGACAAAAATTGGGTGTTTGGCCATTCATCTATCAGAAATACATCAGGTGCTAGATGATTCAAATGATCAAGCAGCTACAATTTTAGAACATGCCAAAAGACAAAAGACAATATTAACTTTATTTTTTGAAATATATGGAGCAATTGCAGTGGCAAGACAATATATATATATACCAATAATTTCTACAATATTTTATTTGGCATAAGACTAAAAAGACGTGGACATTAAAAAAATATAAATTTACTATTGAAAGATTATGTTTTGTAAATCTTTCAATAAAAAAAAGATATTATTTGAAGCTTTTGTTAATTCACATTAAAGATCTACAATCATTTGAGCACTTAAAGACTATTCATGGAATTTTCTATCCAACATTTAAAAGTACATGTGAAGCTTTAGAATTGCTTCGAGATGGACAATGGTAACAATGTTTGGAAGAGGCATTAAGAATACAAACTAGATTTCAATTGAGGATATTGTTTATTATTTTGTTATTGCACAAAAATCCTTTAAATCGATAAAATCTATAGAAAAGATTTTAGAAACGTATCTTGGATGATCTTGATGCTTGTTTGTAAAGAAAACATAGAATTAACAATCCAACATAGGAATAGATTAAAGATTTCGGACTTTTATTGTTGAATAAGATTTTATAAGATTTTGACAAAAAGCTTGCATAGTTACCAAGAAACAATTTAAATGTAAAAATTAATAGAAATCAATTTATTTTTGAAGAAAGAATATAGAATATTCAATAATTATAAGCAAATTTAAAGAAGAATATTCCATAATTGAGTCTTAAATAAAAAATAGTATATGATGATATTGTGGCCTCTATAATGGAAGAACATGAATGCATGTTTTTTTAAAATGGACTTGCACAAAATAATAAGACATTTATTTATAACACTTTAATGATTAAATTTTAATTGATGCAAAAAATTGTCATATATGTTACATCATCAAGAATTGCCGCACTGTTATTTGATGGATGAAGAGTTGTCCATTCTCCATTTAAGATTCTATTAGATTGTAACAAAGATTCTTTTTGTTCAATTACTAAGAATTCCAACCATGCTAATTTTATTTGCCAAATTTTGCTTATTATTTGGAATAAAATTCTAATGAAACATTGTTATTATCTTGAGATAGTTGATTGTTCTTTTGGAGACAT